AAGCAAATGCATTATCTAGGGGGAACGCAGCCTAGAAGCAGAGCGGAAGCAAGCCGCTTGCAGACTGACAGAACGTGAGACTAAAACGCAGGCGAGAGAGCTCCTGGGAGCGGTGGGTTTTGTAAATTGTGGATTTCCAAACTTCGCAGTACTAGCCAAACCCGTCTATGATGTGACAAGGCGGGGAGACAAGGAGCCCTTTGAATGGGGATCCCAGCGGCGCCAGGCCTACCAGGAACTGGAAACAAAACTAATGTCAGCTCCAGCTTTGGGGCTGCCTGATTTAACAAAGCCCTTCACATTACATGTGGCAGAAAAAGTGGCAGTTGGGGTCCCTGTCCAAACAGTAGGACCTTGGCCCAGGCCTGTAGCTTACCTCTCCAAGCAGCTGGACGGAGTTTCCAAAGGATGGCCCCCATGCTTAAGGGCCCTGGCAGCAACTGCTGTGCTGGCACAAGAAGCAGATAAGCTAACCCTGGGACAGAACGTAAATGTCAAGGCGCCTCACGCAGTAGTGACTCTGATGAATACCAGAGGGCACCACCGGTTATCAGATGTTAGGTTGACCAAATACCAGAGCCTGCTACGTGAAAATCCCCGCATCACCATTGAAGACTGCAACACCTTGAACCCCGCCACTTTGCTCCCAATGTCAGAGAGCCCCGTGGAACACAGCTGTGCTGAAGTCCTGGACACAGTCTATTCCAGCAGGCCTGATCTTCGGGACCAGCCATGGACAGTAGCAGACTGGGAGGTGTATGTGGATGGGAGCAGCTTTGTCAATCCACGAGGGGACACATGTGCAGGCCACGCCGTGGTAACTCTGGACACTAATCGAGGCCAAATCTCTGCCTCAGGGCACCTCGGCTCAGAAGGCTGAACTCATTGTTTAACTCAAGCCCTACAGCTGAGTGAAGATAAGGTTGTAAACATTTACACCGATTTGCCATTTTCTCGATTCGCCTTCCCGTCTCTCCAAGTACATGGAGCACTGTTCAAAGAGAGAGGCCTGTTAACTTCAGGGGGAAAAGAAATCTTGCAGCTGCTAGAAGCAGTCTGGAAGCCCCGGAGGGTGGTGGTCGTGCATTGCCGAGGACGTCAGCGGGCCCACACCTCCATGGCCCTGGGAAATTCCCGAGCGGATTCAGCAGCTTCGTAGGGCAGCATCTGCCCCCTACCGAGTAGCAGTCACAGCCCCGCTGATTCCCCAGATCCCTGATCTAATATCTACTTACTCTAAGGAGGAAAGAGACTTTCTCCAGACAGAAGGGGGCAACAGATTAAAGAAGGATGGATCCAACGGTCAGTTGGAAGAATAACAGCACCACGGCTGCTGGGGGCAGCAGCTGTACAAGCCGTACATGGGACCACTCATTTAGCTCAAGAGTCGCTTGAAAAGATGTTGGGCCGGTACTTTTACATCTCACACTTCACAGCCTTGACCAAAACTGCAGCACAGCGATGCATTACATGTCGGCAACACAACGCGAGGCAGGGTCCAGCTATTCCCCCTGGAATTCAAGCTTATGGAGCAGCTCCACTTGAAGATCTCCAGGTAGACTTTGTTGAAATGTCCAAGTGTGGGGGACATAAGTATTTGTTGGTCCTGGTGTGCACATACTCTGGGTGGGACTGAAAGAGCCCATGAAGTAACCTGTGTGCTACCTCGAGATCTTATCCCTGGGTTTGGACTACCACTGCACATCGGGGCAGACAGTGGACCAGCATTTGTGGCAGATTTAGTCCGGAAAACAGCCTTGGATATCACCTGGAAACTGCACACTGCCTACCGACCTCAGAGTTCCGGAAAAGTGGAAAGAAAATGAACCGGACCATCAAAACAGCTTAGGGAAAGTGTTCAGGAAACCAGATTAGAGTGGGTGCAGGCACTTCCCTTGGGGTTACTCAAAATTAGAGGCACCCCCTTTAGGAAAAACAGGATATTCCCCTTATGAAATCTTGTATCATAGGCCCCCTCCCATACTCCGGGCACTCCCAGGAACTCCTCGGGAGTGGGGGGGGATTGAGTTAGGACGCCAATTATGAGCTCTAGGGAAAATCGTCCAGGGTATTTCAATCTGGGTAAATGACAGATGTCCTGTAGCCTTTTTCTCCCCAGTTCACCCTTTCTCACCAGGTGATCACGTGTGGATAAAGGACAGGAGTACAGCCCCTCCAAAGCCACAATGGAAAGGACCTCAGACCTGATGCTGACCAATCCCAGCCTGAATCCACAGCTGTGTAAAAACCAGCAACACCTGAGACTTGGACCAAGGCAAGGACTGCAGAATCGCCTTAAAAAGGACAACAGGCTCTGCTCCAGCCACATCCCGGAAGCTGGCTGGCCCACGCACGGCCGAAGCATGAGGAGATTCAGCGTGGGACTTGTTCTTCTTAATATTTGGATTTGTACAGTAGGAACATTAACTAATTTTGAAGAATGCCCTCAGTATGTACACCAGGTAGGGCGTAAAAGTTCCTGCCATTCTTTTGTCCTGCAGTTCTTATAAATGTATGGGGACACAGAAGGGAACCTGTTTATATAACGGCACTCAATATAAGGTTATGTGTAATCCGTGAGATGGACAGGTCGCTGTGTCACAGGCATCATTAAGCCCTCTTTCTTCCTATTGTCTGTTAAGACAGGTGAGCTTATGGGGTATCTGGTCTACTCCACCAGGGAGAAAAGAGACCTAAAAATAAGGCATTGGACAGATGATGAGAGACCACCAGAGAGAATTATTGAGTATTACAGGCAGGCCACATGGGCCGAGGATGGCTCATGGGGATACCAGAGCCCTATTTACATGCTCAACCAGATCATCCGGTTGCAGGCTGTTTTGGAAATACTAATGAAAACGGGCAAAGCTCTGTACCTCTTGGCCCAACAAGAAACTCAAATGAGAAACGCGATTTATCAGAACCAACTGGCCCTAGATCGTCTGCTGGCAGCCGAAGGAGGAGTTGGGAAAATTCAGTCTAACCAACTGCTGTCTGCACATGGGTGACCAGGGGCAGGCAGTGGAGGATACTGTGTGAGACACGACCAGACTGGCACACGTGCCTGTACAGGTATGGCACGGATTTAACCCTGAGTCCTTATTTGGAGGTTGGTTCTCATGCTTGGCAGGATTCAAAACCCTCATCCTAAGTGTTCTAATAATAATAGGTGTTTGTTTACTGCTCCCTTGTCTACTGCCCCTGTTCCTTCAGATGAGGGGATTCATCACTACTATAGTGAGCCAAAAAGTGACATCACAAGTGTATTATATGAAACATTATCAGTCGGTTTCTTCAGAAAATCTGGAAAGTGAGAATGAAAGTGAGACCTCTCACTAATATTGTAAAGTGGTGAGGGTCGCAAAGGGGGGGGATGAAGAGGAGACCCAGGCATCTCAGATCAACTGCCCATTTTCATTCCTAAAACTGTAAACTTCCCCCTTTTCATTCCTAAGACTGCAAACTGAAACCTTTTCATATGTAATTCCTGAGACTGTAAACCGAGACCCTTTTCATATGTTAAAGTATAAACTGAAGATTCTTCCACGTGTAACTCTAAAGTATAAGCCTATATAAAGACGGAACCTTCCTTAGTTAAGGGAGCTTGGCTGTTGGGCAACAATGCCACCTTGCTCCTGGCCCAATAAGCCCTCCTTCCTCCTGTATTAGTGTCCCAGAGATCCGTCTCCCGCAGCCGCTCCTGCTACAATACCATACTTAGTGTAAGACGCTAATAAACGAAGAAACTAGGTATGAAACATAGAGGGAGAAGCCGGGCGCTGTGGCTCACGCCTGTAATCCCAGCACTTTAGGAGGCTGAGACAGGTGGATCACCTGAGGTCAGGCGTTCAAGACCAGCCTGGACAACGTGGTAAAACCCTGCCTCTTAAAAAAGAAAAAAAAAAAAAAAAAAAAAAAAAAAATATATATATATATATATATATATATGGAAATATAGAGGGAGTCTATTATCTTTGCAACTTTTCTGTAAATGCAAAACTAAAGTTTACTTTAAAAAAACTAACGGTTATCAAAAGAAAAAATCTTTGAAGCACCTAACTACAACCACTGTAGTTTAATTCTGTGCCCCCTCTCAAAGTAGGAAGTATAATGAGTTAGCGCTGGGCAAACCGTCCCCGCCTCTAGAGCAGTCCTGGCCAACAGAAACAACGCCAGCAACATGTGAAATTATCTTCTAACAGCAACATTAGCAAAGTAAACAGGTGAATCTAACTCAATATGCTAAAAATACTATCATGTGAACACATAATCAATGTTAAAAACCTGCACTACTTTTGTTTTTCTTTCTTTGAGACAGGCTCTGTGGCTCAGGCTGGGGGGAAGCGGCGGGATCCTGGCTCGCACACGGCAGCCGGGCACTCCTGGACTCCTGGCGTCCTCCTACCTCGGCCTCCCCAGGCGCGTGCCACCTCGTATGGCTGTTTTTCGCGTGTTTTTTGAAGAGATGGGGTCTCACTATGTGGCCCGGGCTGGTTTCAATTCCTGGGCTCAAGCGATCCTCCGGCCTCGGCCTCCCAAAAGCTGGGGTTACAGGCGTCAGCTACCGCACCCGGCTTTGCTTTGGTTGCTAAATTGGCGTAAACTAAGCGTTGCCTTCAGGAATCGCACGAGCCGTATTTCAGACGCTCAATAACCACACAAGGCTCAAGGGCGCGCTCCCGGAAGGGACCCTGGAAGAGGCCGGGCTTCCACCCCAGCCTCGCGCCGGGGACGGCACCCAGGGTGGGCTCGCGGGGACGGGGAGAAGGGGGAGGACGCGGCGGAGCCCGGCCCCCACAGGCCGGCAGGAAGGGCCCGCCGCCCCCGAACCCTCAGCGCAGAGCGCCCCCGAAGGCGGCCCCAGCCTCGACCCGATCCCGACTCCGATCCAACCTTATGTCCCGCCCGACCAACCCTGACCCAGGTCCCGATCCCCATCCCAACGGTAACACCGGCCCTGAACCCCATCCCGGCCCGGCACCGACCAGCCCAGCACGCACCTGTCCCAGTTGGGGTCCCAGACGCCGGGGCTCGGCCGCGCGCCCCCCCGCCCAGGCCGGCGGCTCAGCCGGACGTGGCTCCGCGTCCCCGCCCGCACGCGGCTTCCCTACCGCCACGGCCGAGAAGAGCACGGCGGCCGAGCCTCCCGCCAGCCCGCAGGCCGCCAGCTGCAGCGCCTGCCGGAACGCCATGCTGCCAGCTCCCGCGCAGGCGCCCACGGCCCCGACGGCGCGGCGCGAGGGACACGCTTCCCCGAGCGAGCGCGTCCGACCGGCGGGGGCGGAAGTCCCGCCTCCTGGGGCGGGGCGCGGGGCCGCCTTCCGGGAAAGCGGCGTTTTCACCGAGCCACGGGCCCGCCACGCTCCGGTCGGGTCACTTGTGCTCGCGAGCGTTTGGGGGCGCAGGTACGGACTGGGTTCCGGGGACGCCGAGAGGGCGGTGCGGGGCTTTCCAGGAGGTTCCGCCCCGGAAGTGCCTGCCCAGGCCGGAGGCGGGGTGCCGGGCGGAGACGCGGAGGAGGAGCTGGGACCCCGGATGCAGGGAGCTGGGAAAGCACCGCAGGTGGCGGCGGCACGTTTGGTGGCGGGGCAGGAAGCAAAGGTTTTCGTCGCCCGATCCCGCGTGTGCGGCTCAGGTGGCCTGAAGGGCTCCGGCTCTGCCGGGCTGCTCCTGGCCTGATCCCGACTCCGCAGCCCGGCCCCGCGCCGCCCCCTCCCGCGGGACTGTCCCCCCGTGGCCGGCGTTTCGCTCGGCGTGTCCTCAGGGACCGCGTTCCAGCCTGGGGATCCTTCCGGGGGGTCCGCGCGCCCTGCGGGGACCGACCCCGCTGCTGGACGCTTGCCTGTCGCCCCTCCTGGTTGTGAACAGTGCCAGGATGCCGCGCACATCTCTCCTTGACTCACTCTGTCGTGTCTGTACCCCGGAGTGCCATTGCCGGACCTTCTCTGCGCATTTTAAAGTTGGGAAGTGACATCATCCGATTTAAGCTTTTTAAAAATCACGCTGGGCGCGTCGGCTCACACCTGTAACCCCAGCACTTTGGGAGGCCGAGGCGGGTGGATCACGAGCTTAAGAGCTCAAGACCAGCCTGGCCAACATGGCGAAACCCCGTCTCTACTAAAAATACAATTATCCAAGCGAGGTGGCGCATGTCTGTAATCCCAGCTACTCGGGAGGCTCAGGCGGAGAATTGCTTAAACCTGGGAGGAGGAAGTTGCAGTGAGCGGAGATCCCGCCGCTGCACTCCAGCCTGGGTGACAGAGCAAGACTCCAACTCAGAAAAAAAAAAAAAGAAAAAATCACTTCAGGCCGGACATGGGGGCTCATGAATGTAATCCCTACACTGTGTAATCTCTACACTTTGGGAGGCTGAGGCGGGTGGATCACCTGAGGTCAGAAGTTCGAGACCAGCCTGGCCAACATGGTGAAACCCGGTTTCTACTAAAAATACAAAATTAGCCAGGCATGGTGACCGGAGCCTGTAATACTAGATACTCTGGAGGCTGAGGCAGGAGAATCGCTTGAACCTGGGAGGTGGAGGTTGCAGTGAGCTGAGATTGTGCCACTGCACTCCCGTATGGGCAACAGAGCGAGACTCTGTCTCAAAAAGAAAAAATTTAGCTGCGCATGGTGGCAGGCACTTCTAGTCCCAGCTGCTCTGGAGGCTGAGGCCAGAGGATCACCTCAGCCCAGAAGGCGAACGCTGCAGTGAGCCATGATCGCACCACTGCACTCTAGCTTGGACAACAGTGTAAGACCCAGTTTCAAAAAATGAAAATCTCTTGGAGTTCAAAGACTGAGTTGGTATAAAATTAGCCGGGCATGGTGGCACATGCCTGTAATCCCAGCTACTTGGGAGGCTGAGGTGGGAGAATCGCTTGAAACCAGGAGGTAGAGGCTGCAGTGCACCGAGATCACGCCACTGCACTCCAACCTGGGCAACAGAGCGAGACTCTGTCTCAAAAAGTAAAATTTACAATTTCTTACAAAATGTATTTTTAGAGACAGGGTGTCACTCTCCTGTCCAGGTTGGAGTGCAGTGGTGCAGTCACAGCTCACTGCAGCCTCCAATTCCTGGGCTCCAGTGATTACCCTGCCTCAGCCTCTGGATTAACTGGAACTACAAGTGTGTGCCACCATACTTGGCTAATTTCTGTATTTTCTGTAGAGATGGGGGTCTGCGTTGCCCAGAAAAAAAGAGACCTCGAACTCCTGGGCTCAAGTGATCCTCCCACCTTGGCCTCCCAAAGTGCTGGGCTTACAGGTATGAGTCACTGCACCTGGCCTCACACCCCACTTTTTGATAATGTGTGATCCTCAACAAAACTGGGTCCCTGCTTGATTGGCCCACAGTGAAGGCACCATTTGACAAGTGCAGCCCACACTAAGCTTCCAAAGAATGTCTTAGTGGCATTGATTTTTAAAAACAAATGAACCAGGCCAGGCACGGTGGCTGACGCCTGTAATCACAACACTTTGGGAGGCCAAGGTGGGTGGATCACGAGGTCAGGAGATCGAGACTATCCTGGCCAACATGGTGAAACCCCATCTCTACTAAAAATTAGCTGGGTGTGGTGGCATGCACCTATAGTCCCAGCTACAGAGCGAGCAGAGTCATGCCACCGCACTCTAGCCTGGTGACAGAGTGAGACTCTGTCTTAAAAATAAATAAATGAACCATCAAGCATCGAGAGACATTTATGGAACACCTAATCAAGAAGACAGAGCCAGGCATAGTGGCACACCCCGCAGTCTCAGCTATTGGGGAGGCTGAGGTGAGAGAACTGCTTGAGCCCAGGACTTGTGAGCTGTACTGTGCTTTGCTCATTGGGTATCCACAAGAAGTTCAGCAGCACTATAGTGACCTCCTGGGAGCAGCAGAGCACTAGGGTTAGGGTTAGCGTGGAAACGAAGCAGTCAGAACTCCCGTGCCGGTTAGTGGGAGCTGTGAATAGCTACCGCACTTCAGCCTGGTAACACAGCAAGACCCTTTCTCTAAAAAGAAAGAGACCACAAGGAGTAAGTAAACGAAAACCTAACTCAGAAAATAGAAACAGCATATGAGATACAAGAAGACTTCCAAACTTCTGTAACTAAGATTTTTTTTTTTTTTTTTTTTTGAGACGGAGTTTCGCTCGTTACCCAGACTGGAGTGCAATGGCGCGATCTCGGCTCACCGCAACCTCCGCCTCCTGGGTTCAGGCAATTCTCCTGCCTCAGTCTCCTGAGATTTTTTTTTTTTTAAAGACAGAGTCTCACTCTGTCGCCTGGCTGGAGTGCGGTGGTGCCATCTCTGCTCACTGCAACCTCCACCTCCCCGGTTCAAGTGATTCTCCTGCCTCAGCCTCCCGAGTAGCTGGGATTACAGGCACACGCCACCATGCCTGGCTAATTTTTGTATTTTAGTGGGGGGGGGGGTCTCACCATGTTGGCCAGGTTGGTTTCAATCTCTTGACCTTGTGATCTGCCTGCCTCAGCCTCCCAAAGTGCTGGGATTACAGGCGTGAGCCACCACACCTGATCTGTAACTAAGATCTTAAAGGGTAATTGTACTTATGAAACAAGAATGGAATACCATCAGGGAGGAGTTGGCTGGGCACAGTGGCTCACGCCTGTAATCCCAGCACTTTGGGAGGCTGAGGCAGGTGGATCACCCCAAGTCAGGAGTTAGAGACCAGACTGGCCAACGTGGTGAAACCCTGTCTCTACTAAAAATACAAAAATTAGCTGGGCATGGTGGTACATGCCTGTAATTCTAGCTACTCAGGAGGCTGAGGCAGAACTGCTTGAACCGAGACCCAGGAGGTGAGCTTGTAGTGAGCCAAGATCGCGCCACCGTACTCCAGCCTGGGCTACAGCGACTCCGTCTAAGAAAAAAAAAAATTAGCTGGGTGTGGTGGTGAGCACCTGTAATCCCAGCTACTCGGGAGGCTGAGGCAGGAGAACTGCTTGAACCCAGGAGGCAGACGTTGCAGTGAGCCAAGATAGCACCACTGTACTCCAGCCTGGGTGTTAGAGTGAGACTTTTTTTTTTTTTTTTTTTGAGACGGAGTTTCGCTCTTGTTACCCAGGCTGGAGTGCAATGGCGCGATCTCGGCTCACCGCAACCTCCGCCTCCTGGGTTCAGGCAATTCTCCTGCCTCAACCTCCTGAGTAGCTGGGATTACAGGCACACGCCACCATGCCCAGCTAATTTTTTGTAGTTTTAGTAGAGATGGGGTTTCACTGTGTTGACCAGGATGGTCTCGAGCTCTTGACCTCGTGATCCACCCGCCTCGGCCTCCCAAAGTGCTGGGATTACAGGCATGAGCCACCGTGCCCGGCCAAGTGAGACAGTCTTAAAAAAAAAAAAAAAAAAAAAAAAGGCTGGGTGCAGTGGCTCACCTGTAATTCCAGCACTTTGGAAGGCCAAGGAGGGCAGATCACCTGAGGTCAGAAGTTCGAGACCAGACTGGCCAACATGGTGAAACCCTGTCTCTTCTAAATACAGAAATTAGCCTGGCATGGTGATGAGCACCTAAAATCTCAGCTACTTGGGAGGCTGAGGCAGGAGAATCACTTGAACCTGGGAGGTAGAAGTTGCAGTGAGCTGAGATCATGCCACTGCACTCCAGCAAAAGAATGCAGAAAAAAAATCAGCTGAAAGGTTGGGATATAAAACTGAGATTAGGGTGGGTGCAATGGCTCCCTCCTGTAGTCACAGCACGTTGAGGGCCAAGGTGGGCAGATCACCTGAGGTCAGGAGTTCAAGACCAGCCTAGCCAACATGGTGAAACCCCATCTCTACTAAAATACAAGCTGGGTTGTAGTGGTGTGTGCCTGTAATCCCAGCTACTTGGGTGAACCCAGGAGGTGGAGGTCCACTGCAGAGTGGAAATAGCACCACTGCACTCCAGCCTAGGTGACAGAGCAAGGCTGTCTAAAAAAAAAAAAAAAAAAGATTGTCCAGAAAATAAAAGGGGAAAAAAAATTTAAATTGGAAAGGAAAACCAGAACACAAATACAGGAGACCCATGAAGAGATAAGAGAAAATAATGAGAAAATTACCAAAGAAATGATGCAAGACAGGATTCCAGGAATTGAAGGAAATGAGTTTTCAGGATGAAGCTTATCAAGTGCCTCATCTAATGAATAAAAAAGAACCATGCGGAGACACGTTATCCTGAAATTTCAGAACCCTAATGATAGAGATAATCCTTTTTTTTTTTTTTTTTTTTTTTGAGATAGGGTCTCACTCTGT